CCTCTAAGCAGCAATAGTCCAACTGCCACATCGAGATCAAAGGTTAGAGGACTTTTTATTTATTTATATCTTCAGATAGCGAGTGGAGTGAAATTTCTGAAAACTCTTTTCAATCGGTTCAGGAAAAGATTAAAAAATTCCTGTGAACTAATCAAATACACAAAATAGTTTGGCTATCATTTTCTATTTATAGATTCAAAGATTGACATTTTGCAAACAATACCGGTTTTTCTGCTCACACACTTTGTGTTAGAAGGGTATATTACGTTTGTGTGGCGATGTATGCAACATCCTGAAATACTTGATGTATACACATTCTTTTATCATACTGTTCGATTTAGAATCACTTTTTGATTTGATTTATATGGGTCCGTCCTTCTGCCCGTCCACCTTGTTCTCTTGTGCTCAACCTGTAGACCGTAAATTTTCCGATATTTTGATGTTTGAAGTTTGCTACACCGACGTCTTTTGGCCCAGGGAGGAACACTATTAAAAATGGTTCGGATCGTACCAGTTTTTCAACCGTTTTCCCTATTAAACCTTGTTTTGAAAAGTCTTTGTACGAATAGCTGCATTAAGCGAAGTAGTGTAGGGCATTTAATGTTGGGCCGTGGGCAACTAGTGTCTTTTTCTTTGTTTTAATTTACCTTTGGCGCATTCGTTTCTATTCATAATATACAATTTACAAGCTTTGGAAAAGCCACACAAAACTGCTTAGGTTCGGTATGTGTATTGGGACAGAGATCAGCGGAAACACAATTATTAGAAACAGAGGGATCCGCCTGAATAGCCGAAAGCGAGGAATCTCGACTATCAAGTCAATGGTCGTGGGTTTGAATCTCAAGTGCGGTAGAGTTCTTAATAAAAGCCGATAGCCTTAGATGCTAGTGCTTTTAAGAGTTTAGTCTTAGAATTTATTTCTCTGGCGAAATTAATAATAATAATAATAATAATAATAATAATAGAAACAAAGGAAAAACGTACAGCATATTAGTTCGTTGCAATCATTGTATATAATATCTGGTCATATGCAATAATTTTGCACATTTCCATTTGGATGAATCGATAGATGGGCAGAGTTGCTTCGAATATGCCTCGCATGTAATATTTAAAACATCTCCGATTTCAAAGACCTACTGAACGCACGCGTGGATATTATTCATCCAAAAGCGTTCATAAGGCAAAAGCAAAAAAAAAAATTCGACAGCCAGAATAATTTCTGTGCATATTCCATATATTTAAGTTATGGAATGAACAAATAAATGCACGTTTGAAGCATCTGAAAGCTTTCAATGGAATTTTTTTTTTTTCTTTTTTTTTTATTTATTCTTTTCTTATAAGCCACAACAGTCATCACTGTTGTTTTTGTAAATGTGTGCATATAAGGCCGAAGTTATGTACATAACAAAAGGGAGTGAAAAAATTCACAAAAACACCGACAACATACATATATATACATATATATATATATACATATATATATATATATTCCTACGTTCATTTAGTTTCTCTTTCCATGCACATATACGGGGAACGTTATCAATGGATTCACATTTTCATTTCAAGTCTTATCACAAAATTCTATAATTAAATGTAAAAGAATTTTTTCTTTTTTATTGCTCGCTTCGCTTATACATATATATCAAGACCCAAACTTATCAGTTAGCGGTCAATTTGTCTAAAGGTTTTTTCTTTTTTTCTTCCATTTTAATTATAAAGGAAATGAAGGAAACATACAGCATTCAATCGTTCAATTTTATTCAATGCTCGCGAAAGGGAAGCAAGTTGTTAGGGGAGCAATTAATTGCTTTCAACCTTGTATTGATATAGCGTGTAAGCCTTTTATCTCGAATTTTATTTTACATATGTAAACATACTTTAATTTGTGTGTATGTACACAACAAAAGGCCTTCATCCTGAATATTATTTCCAATGTGTGTGGGTTACGATTTTGATAATTCTGCGCATATTCTCAGTTCATCACAATTGCTTATAAGAATTTCTTTTATCGCCACTAACAAAAGCCGTCTGAAGTGAGATTTTGAGACGGGATAGTCTCACACAATACTCGAATATGATATGAATTAAATGTGCGTGAGTTGATTAGTTGGCGAACAAGAATAGCGCCGGCATGTCCTTAAACTACTCATTAGTTACTGCTTTAGATGTTGATGAATGCAGGCATAAGCAAAGAAAACTATTGCAAGACGGATTTTTAAAGCAATGAACTTATGGAACAATTTTCCTATATTCCGTAAGAGAAGCACTGCTGGGCGAATATGAGACTCTTCGATGCATACAAGTGCCAATCGAAAGGATTCGAGTCTAGTGATAAGCCTCGTGGACTGGTACTCCTGAGATGAGTGTTTCCAATGTGTCGCGAAGCTGTTTTGCAATACGCATGGATGGACAGATGACGTTGAAAAAAGTACAAGTAAGTATAAGTTTTTGCTTACGGATATTCTGGCCAATCCAGTCCCCCAGTCGTTTGTATCGCTCGCGCTAAGAAGAGTGCTGTCGACGAATGCAATTTTTTTCACACAAAAATGGATATTTGGTATTACCGAAGCCGACTATTGTCAGATATGTAGGCTATCAAAATACCAATAACTTAAGATATCTTCCATCGAAATTCTGTTTTCATAGTAGCATAGCTACTGTTAAAATCAATCATCTCAAAGCCTAAGTTGACAACAAAACATGTTTACTGAAAGCTGCTCTTCAAGAAGCCGCAAATAGTTAATCACGTTCAATATAAAACCATGATCAAAAAAGAGATAGACTTGTTGATTTATTTCAACATGAAAAACTTAAAATTTAAGTGACATTAGCGCTTCCACTCTGTTTCTCTCTCTCTCTCTCTCGCTGTGTACAATACTATGGCAACTCTTTATTTCTCCATTCTATTTCCTTTTCGCTTCGTTTCTTATAACGTTTCAGAGAATACACATGTCATATTCATGCTGGAATGTCTGTCTCACCGTTCCCGCTGTTGTCAGCAGACATTGCTTCTGATTAATAGATGACTTTCTATTCCGTTGAATGGTGATTCGATTCTTAGAACGACACCCAACCAAATATGAATTCTTTTGGGAATAACGCCAAAATATGTTCTATTTTTTTCCCAGATGCAATTCAGAAATTATCTGAGAGATGAGGAAAAGTAGTCCCCAGCGATAGACCATAATATGGTTAATCTGCTCACTCATTATACCTTACACCACTTGTGGTACAGCGTGTATTAGGTTGGTGGGCACCTATGTAAAACCCAGAAAACCTTAAGATAGACCCACCTTTTATTATACCGATTCAGAATCATTTTCTAAATCGATCTAAGCATATCTGCCCGCATGATTCCTGTCTGTATGTCTGTCTATGTATTTTTGTATTCAAACTGCAGCTCGCAATTTTTGATGAGATTTGGTCCACTGACGGACAATTTTGAGAGCGGTTCGGATCGGTTAACTTATACGACGCCATATTCTCAAAACTCATTATATGGGGAAATATTGTAATTTATAAAATTCCTCGGCAAAAGTGGCTAAGTAGTAGTGTTGTGAAAACTTGGGACCAACTGCGGCCATTTTTTAAATTCTTCCTATATAACCTATCCTAGGGAAACTGGATCTTTATATGGTAAAAAGTTCGAATTTACAATATTTCATAGTTCATGGTCATAATAGGAAATTGGCAAAGAAATCTACCTTACCAAATTTGGACCACTTTTTGGATATCGCGGTATATAAGGACACCCATGAAAGGTAAACTCTATTCCAAAAAAACCTAATTTTTAGGTTTTTTTGTGATGAAAATTTCCTCATGATAGCAATTAAATAAAATAATTAAGTGGATCTAATTTGAATCACATGGGTCTATTTCTGGGCTTCACTCCATGTAAGATATCCCGTGAGTGAGAAGCCCTTCACAAAAGGCTTAGTTTTTAAAATATTATGTTTCAGCTGAGGAATTTGGAACACATAAGTCTATTTTTTTGGATCCAAAGGCCCTGTCACGAAACGCAAACTCTTATATGGAGAGAAAATCTAGCTGTGCAAGATGCGAGCTTTCGTGAAAATTATGACTTGGCATGAAACTAAGATTTACTTTTGGGATATTATTACGAAAACGAGCGAATAGATATACTAGGCCAAATGGTGTAGGGTATGTAAAAGTCTGCATTACCCGGCCGTAATATTTTTTAACTTGTTTTGTTCCGAAGTACATGCATCTTTGACGATAAACAAAAAGGAACAAACTAATTTACACTTCCAATCTTTTTAATGAGCCGTGGCGACATAAGTTGGTTGTTGAACTGGTTTTTTTTTTTTGTTTTCGCTCATTTTATGAGTTATAGAGAAAAGGGGGTTATAAAAAATATAAGTTACATACTGTACTACGGGCAGCGCAGGATGGTGCACGTCTTCATATCTTTTTTGCAGAGACTAACTTAACTCTTGAGTCTTGTGCTCGAATGTATAAAAGGGGCTTTGTTTTTCTAAGATCTGTTCTTCAGATCAGCTGTTAATAGCGATTTTAAGAAGACTAATCTTTACTCTCCATTGTATCTGAATTTTATATATGTTTGGATAAACAAAGAAACAAGTATTATAAACAAAAAATGTTTTTGAAAACTTTGGGTCCTGAATTTGTGCTTTGGCTGGTGTTCATATTTTTAACGCAATTTCTGCTTCCGAGGAAGCCTTGAAAACGAACAGTAGAAGGTATCTGATGACTATTAATTGCTGTAGTCAGTAGTGAGATAACGAGTTGATATAGAATGTAAGTAGCAATAGCTTCGCTACGTTGTCACTGTCACTGTTACTATTTATTTTCTTTTGTTCTTTTTTTTTTTTTCTTTTTTGCTTTTCTTCTCTAAAGTAAATATTTATTTATAAAATTCCTGACTGAAAATCCGAGATTCTCGATTGACGGTTAATAAGAAATTGCATTGATATGCTTAAACATGTGTGATCGTATTACAGAAAAATATTTATGCCTACCTGTTGCCATTGATCTTCAATTGATGGTTGCGATGAAAAGTAGCCGGTGGTGCAAATGCGTTCTAGTTCACTAAAAATATTCCCACTTGGTAGTATATCCATATTGAGGTCCATACTCTATAAATTCCAGGATTTTGTGAGGGTAAATTGTTGAAAAAAATAATTAGTTTTTACCATAAATATGTTCTTTTTTTCTTTTCTATTTTTTTTTTTTTATTATATACACGGATTTTTTTTTTTCTCTTTTTATTTTTATAATTTGTTTATATTTAAAATTTTTATGCTTGTTTACTTCTTTTTCATTTTATTTATTTATTTTTTTTTTAATTGTATACTGATATCAACACTGGTCACACAAAGTACGCGACATTTTATTTTCAATTTTTTTTTGTTTCGAATTTTTATTTTATTTTTTTTTGTTTCGGCTGATTTTATTCTTTTTTTTTCTTTCGTATTACATATGAGAGATTAATTAATCCTAAAGTGAAGAAAAAGAAAAATGATTAGTAATAAGAATTTTATTTAATTTATACTATAATTATAATATCAGTAAGTTGATGTTAATGAACACTTGTACGTGTAAGAAGTTGTTAACCCTGAATTATCAGTATTTTAAAGATGTTTTGATATTAACTGTAGTAATAATAACAACAACAGTAATAATGTGAGACCGACCATTATAGAGCAATTACTTGGATATGTTTTAATGATAACTATGTAATAATGTTATACTAGAAGTGTGTTTTTTCATGGTCAATTGCCCAGACGATCTTCTATAGCAGGGCGGTTCGAAAGAAGTCAAGAAAGAGGAAAAAGCATACGTTGTTACCGCAGCCTAGTGGGTGTGCCTCAAATCAATAAGTGTTATGGCTTTAGCGACTGAACACTGGCTACAGCTACGATCAAATATGTTCAACCGCACTGAGAAGTGGACTCGCTCATGCGAATAATCGGATCGAATCTTTTATATACTCCATCAACTTGAACAAGCTCATGGAATTCAACATTTTGCGCAACATTTTTAAATGGCCTTGATAACATTTTTATGCTAAATATTGGATGGGCTCTACAACTTGAAAATTACTGGCAGCAACTTCTTGAGCTTTTGTCATCATACGGGGTGGCAAGCAGAAAATGAGTGCTGGTTACGCAGATAGTTGGAAAAAAATAATTGTGCTTCTAGAATAAACGTAGTGCTCCATCGCAGGGATGTGAAAAGTGGATGGGCGGACCATACTTTGTATGAAATATTCCTTACCAATCTCCTTAAACTAGGCCTTTTAGCCTGAGTGGGCCAGTAAGCTAAGGAGCTCATGTGGTAGTGTGTTCAAGTCTTAAACACGGTTGGTATAGACATAAGAAGCAAACTCAATGTCAAATTTTATGTTCTCTTCATTTAGTGGCAGCAATCAAATTACATCGGTCTTAGGGCGAATTGCTTATACTATGTTCCCTAATAGCTAAAGGGTGATCGGGCGTTTATACTGCAAGGTGGTAATATGAGCGTCCGAAAGAGTTTCTGGTGGACAAGTGAGAGAATAAACGGCCCGTCGTACGGATAAATACGCTGAAGGCGTAGAGTGAGAGAGACAGAGAGAGATAGTGGAATGATTAGCCAGATGCGCGAATACAGGTAGACCCACAGACATGCCAAAGATTATAAGAACTCACGGGTGCGACGAAAACCCAAAGATGTGCGTTCACAAGCATAGAAGAACAGAGGAGAGTATGAATAGACAATAGGGGGACAAAGTATTTTACCTTTGCACTCTGGATGACTTCTCGTGCGATATTTTCAATCTTGATTGATGTAACACACGGAACGCGGTAATCAAATTGACCGAATCTTTCGGATATAATTTTAGGCGCGACATTCTTAAAAAGGTAGACAAGACTAAATTTGTTGTTCAATGCCTTAAATGGACTTTGGATGATGGTATATAAAATATAAATAGAATTTGCTCAACAATTTTAAGGCGACTATCTTTTTGTGTTTGTCTTACAATTTAAAAATATCCGATTACTTCAGAAGCGTTTACTGCACAGCATTATCTCTGCAATGAATCTCTGAGAATGAAACACTGAAAATATCTTCTTCCGAGGGATAAAAAAGAAAACCGTTACAAAGACGACATCCTCTCCGTCTTGCCGTCTGTGTATATATATTTTGTTTATGTATTTAATTTGTTATCACATCTTGACAACATAAAAGAAATTGTAAAGCTAAACCTATTGTTTATTAATTTAGTTTATGCACGCATTCAATGGAAGCAAATTGGCCGGCATTTGACTTGAAATGACTTAAAAAACAATTTTGAAACCACCCTTACCTGTAAAGGTTGTTTATTTTTTTAAACAAATTCTTTCGTTTATTATTCGCTTTCCCTTTATCTTTTTTTTTTTATCACTCATTTATTACGATTTTGTCCTTAAAATATTCACTATCTTCACTTCGTATGCTCTCGTGTATAATTTTTGGCTAAAAAATAAAATGCTTCAACATCTTCTTCTTTTTTTGTATATAACCGGCCACTCAGAGTATGTCCCCTATTTGTGAGAGCACAATGATGGTCGGGTATGGTTGCATGTCGAGAGGTATGGAAAGAGGGAGTAGTGCCTACGTACGTTGAACTTAAAAGTGGGAATATCAAGCAAGGTGCGAAAGACCACTGCTGAGAGATTGTTTGAATGGCGAAGAGTGTGATTAAAGAACGATGAGCCGCAGTAGCGTGTCATGCGATATGCAGGCAATTGTAGGACGAGTGGGTGGGAACGCTGAGAAAGCCTTGTGGTCTTCGTGAAGGACTTAAGTGTTGGTGTTAGTTGAAATTTATGTAGATTTAAACGAAAAGTTTTACCTAAAACTTTAATTTTTTCTTCATTCAAATTTTTTGAAAGAAATAATAATGTATTTCACTTTAATCATATATCAACCTGAGTGGCCGATTAGGCAAAGGGCTTTGATTACCTAGCGGTCGAGTTCTTAATAAAACCATTAACCTTAGATGCTTGTGCGGCAAGCCCTTGGTCTTAGAATTGATTTCTCTGGCTAAATTATTAATAATAATTGGAATAATGTCTGTCCGTCTATCCGTCTTGCTTTCTTTTGTTAAACTTACAGATCGAATGCGATTTCTCAAAATAATAGGCGGCATAATTCCGACAAGATATATCTTGGTCGTTCCAATTTGATGCAGTGTTTTTAACACAACATTCCCTAGAGGGGAGAGGCTGCACCGACTATTAAATACCCTACGACACATTGTCTAACACAATTCTTATTTTCGCCTAAGAACACAAAAACTATACCCCGTTTCTATATAAACTTACTACAATGGAACTGTATATTAAAAATCGAACATCTTTGCAAATAAAGGCTTACTTTCCCTAAGAATAGTTTCGTCAAATAGGTTCAAAAATTGTTGTGATTATTCAAAATTCAGCGTAGTTGATTTTTATATCAAACTACTATTATGAATCAATGTTTATCATGAAATATTAAATCTTCGATTTTTCTACCCTAAAAAACAAAAACTTTCGTACACATCCTTATATAGGTTGACATTCAAAATAGGCATACGTCATACAAATTTTGGGGAGTGACTTTTTATATCAAATTACTATTATGGATTCACTTTCGTGAAAATCTATATATAGGGCAGGATCCAAAAAATAGACCGAGATGGTTAATATTTTTTTTATCTTAAATTACTATTATGGCATGACTTTCATCACGAAACATTGGATATTAGATCTTCTTGCCTAATGAATTTCAGAAGAGAGAGGTGGTTCGAAAAATTGCCCCAGCAAATTTAGAATGCCGCAATACTTAGCCACTTTTGTCAAGAAATTTAGAAAATCACAATTTTTTCCTTATAACGACTTCTCAAAATAGGGCGTAATGTGAGCAGATGTCCTGTCGAAACCATTTTCTTCAGCGTTCGCCCTTGATTTAGAACACGTCCACGTACCAAATTTCATCAAAATATTTCAAAAATTGCGACCTGACTAACAAACGGGCTTAGAATCGTTTTCTCTCTTAAGGGTTTTGGAAGTTACTTACGTCTATCACTTAATACACCATGTGTGGAAATACATGGAATATGACGATAAGCTAATTTAAGCATATTTTTGGTCCACACCAGTTGTGGCGCAAGGGTACGTTTACGCGGATGTATGAAGGACTTCAGGCAAAACCAACTTTCATTTACACCAATCGATTCTGAATCATTGCTTGTCTGTCTGTCCATATCGCAATTTTTGAGATATGTTGTTCAAATTTGTTACGGAAATCGATGTGTTCTTAGCCAACGACGAACGCTTTGAAAAATGGCTCTGATCGGGGCCTTATAACGCCTTATTGCTTTCGAAAGTCATTATGCGCCTTTCGTTTTTCTAGTTATTGTTATGTTATCTTTTATTTCAAAAGCAAAGAAAAAAAAAAAAAAACCTCGAGTAGATGATAATCTTAACTACAATCCGAGCTAACTCGACAGGTGTTGTATATTCGTATAAGGAATATAAAAAACAAAAAAAAAGAGTTTTTCTGAAACGCAATTTTCACCTTCAAATCGCTTGAAGAAAGTCATGAAAATTTATTTATAATGCAATTCTTGGTATTACTCTTACTTATCTTAATAAAGATTTTATTGTAGAGTTTTTCTATCTAAAATGTATTAACACACAAAGCGTAAAAGCAGACCTTAACTGATATGTACTCGTTTCGCTGTTAACAGTTAACGCACATACGCATGTGATTCATGACGAATGATATCGCCGTTTAAAACAATACAGACCTTAAGGCCAATTGACTGCTGGTCTAATCTTTTGCACGTACGTGTATAGATCTAGGTTATGTGTTTGAAGTGTTTATCTATGTTTGTGTGTTTAAAGCTTTTGCATTAACACTTCACTGCATGGAAACTTATGAATTTCGTATCACGTAAGTTCTACTAAAGCTATTGTGAATTTTTATTTACATGTCTTTTGCAAACTTAAGAAAATATTAATTTTATCACAGCCTTTGTGACACACATCTGGGAGCAATCATCGAAATCTCTATAAAATGCCTTTATTACGGATGTGTTATGAAAATTGTAGGCAAAGTCGGTATATCCGTCTCTCGTTGTTTGGTTTTTTTATGAAATTACTTCGCTTCAAGCGACCAAAATTAGGGTAAAATAGTTGAACTTCGCTCCTGCATATGTACTGG